CACACACACACACACACACAGCGTCACACTCACAGAGAGGGGAACACGCACACAGGGTCACACTCACAGAGAGGGGAACACACACACACAAGGTCACACTCACAGAGAGGGGAACACACACACACAGGGTCACACTCACAGAGAGGGGAACACACACACAGGGTCACACTCACAGAGAGGGGAACACACACACACAGGGTCCACTCACACAGACAGAGTGACACACATACAGACACTCTCACTTACACAGAGGAACACAGCCGTGCACAGTGAGATGCGCACAAGCAGCTTCAGAGATCAACTAGGAGTCATGATTGCCAAAACCACAACTTTCAAAATCATTCCAAACAGAAAGAGACTCACTGGTTCCACAGCTCCCGAAAGGTCTCCTGGCTTAGGGGTTCATCCACTTGACTTTCTGTCATCGCGCCTGAGGGCGTGAACCAGAATCTGGGAAACTGGTTTCTCCAATGCTGGGATATAGAAAAACAACGATAAAACAATAAGCAATTTGGATCTCGTGCTGTCCCTGTGTTGGGAGGGTTTGATGAGGGATAGTGTTGAGGGAGCTTTACCTTCTGGTTTCTTTCCATTTAGAAGCGTTGGGGCAGCTTTATTTTGCACCTAACCTCTTGCTGTACCTGTCATGTGTGCGTCATGGGGAACACTGTCAAGGGGATATTACTTCCAGTTTTAAAAGAGTACAGGAATTTTACTCTGAATCTAACCCCGTGCTGTCCCTGTCCTGGGAGTGTTTGATGGGGGGACAGTGTAGAGGCAGCTTTACTCTGTATCTAACCCCGTGCTGTCCCTGTCCTGGGAGTGTTTGATGGGGGACAGTGTAGAGGCAGCTTTACACTGTATCTAACCCTGTGCTGTCCCTCTCCTGGGAGTGTTTGATGGGGGGACAGTGTAGAGGCAGCTTTACTCTGTATGTAACCCTGTGCTGTCCCTCTCCTGGGAGTGTTTGATGGGGGGACAATGTAGAGGCAGCTTTACTCTGTATCTAACCCTGTGCTGTCCCTCTCCTGGGAGTGTTTGATGGGGGGACAGTGTAGAGGCAGCTTTACTCTGTATCTAACCCTGTGCTGTCCCTCTCCTGGGAGTGTTTGATGGGGGGACAGTGTAGAGGCAGCTTTACTCTGTATCTAACCCTGTGCTGTCCCTCTCCTGGGAGTGTTTGATGGGGGGACAGTGTAGAGGCAGCTTTACTCTGTATCTAACCCCGTGCTGTCCCACTCCTGGGAGTGT